CAAGTGTAAGAACAATAAATGTGTTGTTCAAATGACAAAGGATAAAAATAACAACCAGATCTCCCATCTTATGGGTCCTATATTCTTTTACTTACAACCTGTGAGTATTTATGTAAACAAATGACTGTTCTAATAACTCAATTGAAATTGCGATTTTGGATTGAATCAAATTGTTTTTATCTTGGAAATAATATTTAGAATATTATAAACATTGCACAGAATCAATGAATACTTGATGTATGCAATAACAGAAATCAACAGAATCGTTTCTGTCAGCAAACAATGAATATTATTCAGTGACTGAAATAATGAAAACATAAGTATGCTTTATTATAAATCAGTCATAAAAATTGACAAACTTAGTTGCATATCTTTTACATCATCATCTTTAACATCATCATTTTGTGCAGTGCTGGTAAGTGTGAGCTGTCATGTTTTGACATCTCACACGATCACCAAAATCGCATATCAGTTCAATGTTTTTGTCTTGCCCTATCCATCTGGCCAGGCCATCCAACTATTTATCTCTTTGCCTTCCTCTTGTTCTCTTACCATTGTTCTTGTTACAAATTCTCGAGTTCAATCCTTTTCATAATATGTCCTAAGAAATACTGATTGTCTAGGTCTAAGTGTTCTTGTGTTTATGACTTTTATCTGTCTCGATGAGGACTGCTTGGTTTGTTTTGAATCCTTTCATGACATTCTATCTACTCTTCTCAAAAACTGTGTTTCTGCCATGGGTCAATGTTTTCTTTACATGTCCTTCATGGTAGGTTGCAGAATCTACCCCGCATATTTTGTCTATTTGGTTTTCTAGGCAATTTTTCTGTCCAGTAGTTTGCTATTATTGCTTTCTGAACGTTCATCTCTGGATACCATTGTCAAAATCAATGCAAAATGGTGTGTTGCCAAATATCCTGCAGGTGGATCTGAACTTTGGAGTTATAAGCTCAATGGCAACATCTGAGCCACAAACTAACTATTCTAGATACACAATGAAAAATGTACCTTTTCCTTTGACTGATTCCACTCTCGCTGTCACTGCCCACAGAAATAAAACTGACTTGTCTCCCTGAGGTCGGTGAGTCATGACCAGAGGTGTACAAACCACTGGAACAGAAACATCCTATGATACATCACTGAATTCTATTCTTAGAGGATATAACAAATAAATTTACAGAAATTCCAGAAGAATTTGTACAGCCAAAATGCAGGGATAGCAGAAGGAAATATACAGTGAAGGTGTAGACACAATTTCAATGTGGTATGGTTTTTTGCAACAAAAGAAGTGAACCGTTTTCATGACTTGACATTTTATAACTTGGAATTTTGTGCATTTAAAAAAAAACATTTTTAAAAAATATATAATGACACAACTTTGTGGATGTACTTTGTAAGTTGACAGCGGATTAAGAAATTAATAATGTACACAAACAAATACTAACTGATCAAATTTGGATTCCCAAGGTGCTGATTTGACACTTCTTGGTGACTGTCTGCCTTGAAGTTCTGGCAAAGATCTGTGACGCGGGCTGAAATCACGACATAAAGAATTTTAGTGATGATACAATAACATTCTACACTTACTTTCCACTTTCAAAATTAGTGTTTTTCTATCTAGCCTTAGATAAGGCCTCAGATAAAATACTGCAATCCTGTAAATTTCACATAAGTACACATTTGTCACCACAACTGCAGCAGCACGACAACTTACCAGCCTGTTTAGTGGTCAGAGTAACGAGGAGTGCCAGTCACAGCACAGAGACTCCCATGGTGTAACAGAACTGTCACAGTTAGCTAAAACCTATGCAAAAACCTGGCAGAAATCCTTCATAGCTCAAATATTATCTGCACAATTTTTCTTTTAAATTGTTTTGTGCTTTGAGGATGACCCAGTCTTAAAATGTCATAACCCAAAAGTGTACAAGATCCTAGTCATTACTGACAACTACAGGTCAATGAAGCCAGCATGAAATAATGCTCAAATATACAGTGGCTTTAAAGCAAGCTAACAATACTCACTGTGGCAACAGATCTTGAAAATGTCTACTAATGTGTAAACAACACATCTTGTTCAATGCATTGTGGAATGGGAGACAAACATCTGGTAGCTTATATAGTGTGAATACTCATGATGGACAAGGGAGACATTTTAAAAACTATGAATGAACTGCTGACTGAAGATATATAAACTACCTATTAAAGAAGCCTGAGTTTGTATTTAAGTGTGGTTCCAGCAAGAAAAGACATCTGAGAGGAGGTATATGATATGGTTAAAATATGTATGTTATAAATGCTGACAACAATAACTATAAACATATCATGAATATAAAGCTGACATGCTGATGCTTGCAATCATGAAGACAACAGCAATGATACTGGTTACATAGATAAGAGAGACAATAAATGCCATGACTTACGCTTTGACAGACTCTGGCTGGCTGACTACTGTGATGACATTCCTGTTGCAGTTTGTATACTGATCCTGGTACAACTGCTCAGCTACAGAGAAAGAAGATGTAGCTACATGTAATATAAAACTGTCTTCCACCTTCAGAAAATGGACAAAGAAACTGTGAAGAAAGAAGATACAAGTGGAGATGTTACTGGAAAGAGTGCTGACATTAGGGGGGGGGGGGGGGGGGGGGAAACACTGAGGTACTGACAGCTACATGTGACAAAAAATAAAGAGCCCTCAAATGGCAATCTTTTTCTTCTTTAGGTCCATGCCAGGTGGAATTGATAGTCATGTCTATACACAACCTTTTGTCTTGTGTACTTTCAATAAACTCAGATAGGATGATCCTCTATGCCATAATATCCAACTATCCAGCCTCTTTTCTCTCGGTCTCCCTCTGCCTCTCTTCCCAACTAACCTTCCTAATGTTATGATATATTCCAGTTTTCTCCTTTTCATCACATGACAAAAGAATGTAAATTGTCTCTCTCTAATGTAGGCAATCAGTTCTCTTCGTGACTGAGTATCTTTCAAGACATCTTCAATACTCTTTTTATCTGTCTAGGGTATTCTCATCATTCGTCTATAAAACCACATGTTCACAGCTTAAATGGCAATACCAATTGAAATATATGGGGTATGTGAAGTGAACAGTTGAAAAAGACAAACCGGCTTAATGTAAGGAAAAAAGGTGTTTGTGGAAAGCTTGAACACACTGTCATTAAAGTAACAGATGACAGAGAGGATCAAAGTAATCATCAGCAATGTCTGTTCCACCTGATGAGGAATTGTGTTAAAATTACAGGAAAAGATCAAGCAGACAAAAGTATACAGGAGCGTGGAAACAGGATTATTGTATACTCATACATGTGGCCTCTCTCATAGTTCCAACTACCATTTGTAATAGAGGCTATTCAATGCATGTTTTAAATTATGAGGGGAAGTCAATAAGTAAGTCACAAATAGTTGTTTCAACAACAAAAAAAGATAACTTCAAAACCATTCATTTTTACACATACACTGTCCCTTTATTTTGCAAGATAATTTCCACCAACATTAATGCACTTGTGCATTGTTTGATCAGTCCTCCCAAACCTGCTGCATTCAACTGTGTGCTCTGTTTTCTAAACCACAATTTCACTTCACATTCAGCTTTTGCTTCACTCGCAAAATGTCTCATGTCAATGTGGGTTTTCAGTGGACCAAAAAGGTGAAAATCGTTAGGGGCTAAATCAAGGCTGTAAGGTGGTTTATCCAGAAGTTCCCACCCTGAATATTTAATTTTCTCCTGAGTTAACCAAGCCGTTATGTGGTCTGGCATTGTCATGAAGAAGCAGTACTTGTCTAGTCAGCAGACCTGGATGTTTTCTTCTAACTGCATCATGAAGCATTGATAGAACTTTACAGGATTAACATTTGTCAGCATAAACAGGAAGCATGTCCTTATAAATGTCCTTTGCAGACAGCCCTTTTGCTTGAAAAAAAAAAGCACAACAGCACTTTGTTTTTTGAGGGTACACTCCATAGGTACAGTCACCACAAGTGCCACCTAACAAACAGAAACATAGTTTGATGTTGCTGTCACCTAATGACACCTTTATGAACCATCAACTACATTTCCTGCTATCCCATAACCATCTGTGACTTACTTATTGACTTCCTTATTATTATTGCTTTGTTTTATACAAAAATTATTCAAAGATTTACTTTGAGACCGTTCAACCTCTTATTTGTCTAGTAAATCTTCCTTCTCATTTCTCCCTGCATAAGAATGTGAGGGCATTAAATATACTAATTTTTGAAAAAATCTGACAGAAAAATCCTGTTATCCACTCTGGCAATTCATAAAAGAGACTGTAGATATGACCTGCAGCTTCTTCTTATAGACCATGCTGCCTGGTATTGGGAGTCATGTCTATCTAAAGAACTATGTCCCTGGTACTTTCAATCAATTCTGACACAGATTATCCTCCATACCATGATGTTCAAATCCAAATTGCATACTGAGACGTTTCAATGTCAGGGCTAAACAATTTTATAATATCAAGATACATCATTGGCTTTACGGCTGTGAGTCATAGACTCTCACTCAGTCACTGGAGAACAAGATTGGAGCTTTTAAACTGAAGTGTTACCAAATAAATTCTCAGAATAAAATGGATCAAGAATAGGAAAAACACTGATATTCTGCCTGAGCTAACATCTAGGAGAACTCTCTCATAAACAGCATCCTGTCCCAAAAGTTTAAGTATTTTAGCCACATCAAACGTCATGGTGGCTTGGAAAAGACAGTGATGGAGGGTGCCTTTGTGGAAAGCGAGCAGTGGTCGACCTCCGCAAAGATAGATACATAACATTGAAGATGTAGTGGAATTAAAAGCACAGGGGGCTGGAGAGCTGGCTAGGGAAAGGGATATTTTCAGGTGTGCTGTTAAGAGTGAGCAACGTTCTGTAAAGGACTTGCTGGCTGATGATTACTGGCTTTAAAAAAAGAACAAAAACAATATACAGAAAAGATATAAAGGACAAAACCAGAACATACTGTTAAGTCTGGATTCAGAATTAACCCTTCTAGCTTTTCTTCGGCTGGGGGCTCTCTGCACCCTTGGCTGGTCTCTAGACCTATTTCATATGCAGCCAGTCTCTCTGCTCTTTCACTGAGGTTAAAAAAAATGGGTACATGATACACAGATAATAAGACAACAGCAAGTAACAGTTTTCAAAAATTCTAGCAGGGTTATTTAACTCTAGGCTATGTGATCTATAATGAGTTTGAGTACAAGCTATGCCAAGAATATTTTATTTATAGATACAAACAATAACAAAATAATTCAAACATATGTTAGATATCTATTTTTTAAACACACAATTAACTGCTAGATTGCTAAACACAGAACATAAGAATTAACTGCTAGATTGCTAAACACAGAACATAAGAATTAACTGCAAGATTGCTGAACACAGAACATAAGAATTAACTGCTAGATTGCTAAACACAGAACATAAGAATTAACTGCTAGATTGATAAACACAGAACATAAAAATTAACTGCTTGATTGCTAAACACAGAACATGAGAACTAATTGCTAGATTGCTAAACACAGAACATAAGAATTAACTGCTTGATTGCTAAACACAGAACATAAGAATTAATTGCTAGATTGCTAAACACAGAACATAAGAATTAACTGCTTGATTGCTAAACACAGAACATAAGAATTAATTGCTAGATTGCTAAACACAGAACATAAGAATTAACTGCTTGATTGCTAAACACAGAACATAAGAATTAACTGCTTGATTGCTAAACACAGAACATAAGAATCAACTGCTTGATTATTATGAATTATAAAAGTATATTTTCAGTATTTGTACTTCCCTATGTGGGTTCAGGGACCCCATTATAGGGGGAAAAGGAATAGACCCACTGCCCCCAACAAGCATGTTGTACAAGTCGACTAATTATGGGGTTTCTTTGTAGTCAGAGTGCATCTGCCTGAGAGGTGAGGAACCAACGGTCTGCATACAAATAAGCCAGATCTGTCAAACAGATGTACACACAAAACTCAAGTTCTGGAACAAGGCTAAAGTCCAGAAGTGGACAAACAACCAGAATTTTTACTGGTGGAGTTTACAGCCACTGAACACAAAGAAAGAGAAAAAGAGGAAGAAGGTTGTTACTAAAGTTTGTGTGCCAATGTTGTGTCAGAGACTTTTAATGATGCTCTGCATTGCTGTGGCTGGTCTCCATCTGGCTTCTATACTGAGTTCCCACTGTTGTTAATTATATGGCCCAGATATGAAGTTTGCTACTTGTTCAGTATCTTCATCACTGACTGTATTATTTGTCTGACCAAAGCAATCTGGGTGTAAGATTCAGTTTCATTTTTATTTTTTTAACTTTATTTGATTTGTATCTTCAATGTGTCTCATGAGAGACACTTTTAACTATTTTAATGACACTGCACTGTGTGAGAGGAGAGCAGTGTCATCAGTACATCTTAGGTTGTTTTTATTACCCTGATTCTGTTAGGATGAAAAATGTCACAGCTCCGCTTTACTTTTCACATTCCCATGGCCATAGACTATAGCATCAGTCTTCAGTAGCCTTCTAAGCTGCCAGTGTAAGAACCCTAACTGTGGTATGCTTGCTAACAACAAAGAGCAATCACTTATTCTGTGGAACTGAAGAAAAGTTTTAAAAAATACACGAAAACATCAAACAACTGTTGGAAATTATATGAATATTTGTGTATATATAAAGTAACAGAACAGAAACTATAATGGTCATGAACTCATTACAACAATATTTTCGGAACAGAAAGAATAACTTACCCAAAATCATCTGAAATATTTTTTAACCAAAGATAGCAAGCATTGCTCACAGAAGTGTGCACATTCAATCAAAAGTCTTTGTGAAATATAAACAAGAATAATCATGTCAGAAAATTTCAAGCTTTATACAAATGAGACAAAATAACTGTCTTGACAGAATAAGCCACTCTTACACTATTCAGATGATGCAGTATCATCTGTGGAGACATGCAGAAGTCATGCTACAAAGTCAGGTGGATTAGGGAATGAAATGACAAGCTTTCAGGCAAGTTACATTAACCTTCCAAAGTAAATGATGCCAGGGATTAGCCTAGTTATTGTTAACTAAATTAGCTAGTAACATACAATAAAGAATTTTACCACATGAAAACATCTACACAGAACAAAAATGAGACACAACAATCTCAGAGTGACAGAATACATATAGACAGTATGTAAAATGCAAACTTCTAATGATATGTCATCTTCTTCTTCTTCGCGTTCACCAGCTGTACACTCTGGCGGAAAGTTCTGGTTGATCGTCCACTACTGAACTGCAGTCCTGCTCCAGAACCTGAGTGTTGCGTGTGCATCAGTTTTACAGATCTCATTCTCTTGAATACAGACTGTTGATTCCTTGCCTCTCCGGCAGATGCACTCCGACTTCAAAGGAAGCTCCCCAATTAGTCGACTCTTACGACATGCTTTTGGGGAGGCAGTGGGTCTATTCTTGTTTTCCCCACAATGGGGCCCCGGAACCCACACGGGGGATGATATGTCATAATATGCAGTCTCTTAGTGACATAAGATGACAGAAATTAAACAAAACAGAACACAAAAGGCACTTATCTATTTACCTACCCATTCATAACCACATTTAAAAAAAAAAAAAAAATAGAATAAACTGTGAAAATTAGAGGTGAAGTTTTCAAATTTACCTAAAGAATGTGTGGTGCTCAAGACAACATTTCCACAAATGCTTGCATGCAGACTTGGTGGACAGTTCAAATGCATATGTGCGCTCGTCATTCTATACGACAAGTAGAGGTTAGATGCCACACACACAAAACAGTGTCAAATACATCAGTCATTTTGTTAAAATGTATCGTTAAAATAAGAAGCAAAAAATAAAATACTGAAGCAAGCAATTTTACTTCTTTAAAAAAATATTTAAAAACAAGTTCAATCCAAAACATAAGTTACTTTTTAACAGTAAAGATTTATTATATTTGTTTATATCTATTCAGTTATAACAGATTAAGAGATATTCATTCATTCATTCAGTAGCATGTCCCTCGCGGAACCTCGCTGCCATAACAACCCTCCGGAAAACCTTCCTATCCTGAGCAAGATGTCCTGCGTCTGATACACCCATCTGGAGATCATCTGCCACATCCTGCACCCATCTTCCTCTTCCTCTCTTCCCAGGCATATACCCCTCCATTATTGTTCTCTCTAGACTTCCATGACGTTTCAAGTGACCAAAATATTTCAATTTTCTTTGTTTTATTGTCTTTACTAGCCAACCCTCTTCAATATTCAGCTCTTGAAGTATGGATGCATTTGTTCTTTTCTTTACCCAAGATATTCTTAGAACCTGTCTGTAACATTTATATTCAAATGCATTTATGCGCTGTTCCGCTTGTTTAGTAAGTGCCCAGGTCTCACAGGCGTATGTTGCAATGGGAAAGATGCATGCTCTTAAAAATCTGACCTTTGTAATTCTATCTGTACAATTCCATAATTTATTCAGTTGTTTTAGTCTTTACAATCGTTTTTTTTAAGAGATATAGCCATTACCAAATGCAATTTTGAATTCTGCAAACAGCTAGGAACTGACACAACAATTAGGCACTCAATTATATATGTGACTGTCACTTGAGCAGGGCTGACTTTCAAGCAATTATTTTTTAAAGTATTATTGGCCATCACTGCATACAGATCAAAAATTTGTGCAGACTGAACTATTGTAATTTTTAAAACTTTTCTCACAGAACAATAGATCTGATATAATAAATTGCAACGGTTACATTCCAAACATGATTTTAAAGAAAACATAAGTCAATGTACCCAGTAAATGCAAATACTGCATGCAGAAGTGAGAATAAACTGCTTGCTCAATATAATTCAAAATATCTGTTTTCCATGATTTGAGTTGAGTCAAGAATTGACATCACAGCACTCGGGGCATTCCCATGTTTTTCATTTAGTATACAAAGCAGAATTTATTTTTTTAGGTGATAAAAACGAGTTTCATCCTGTTGCATTCCATAACAATGGTGTTCAATAATGAGTTTGCTAGTCAACAAAGTGAACCTGGGTTCAATCCGTTATTGTAACATATTTCCTCAAGCAATGTTCATGTGTCTTTTTTTAATGGAAACAGATTATCTTCTTCTGGTACAAGTAAAGGTGGTTAGTGTAATACTGAACAAATAAAACCCAGTGAGCCTGTTTGTCTAAAACAATATAGACCTACAATAATATGCCTAATATGCCATAAAGTCTTGCAGATGGTCCTATTTTAGACTCGAAACTGTTGCATCTAAACAAGTGGTTTTGTGTTCCTACTTGTGGTAAGCTAAGTTTGGCGGAATTTTTCCTCGCCTGGAGATCACCTATAATCCTTCCTAATAATTTACAGGGCTCGAATTAAGAAAGTCTAGGGGAATTCTAATGGTCCCTGAGTTCATAAAGAAAGGAATGGAAATACAGATAAACAAACCAGTAGGGTGAATCCCCGGAATAGAATTGAATACATAATTATTCTTCTAACTAACTTCAGAAAACAAAGTTCAAGACCTTGCAAATTGAACTCAAATAAATCACAACGTACAATACTTCGTCTACACAAGGAATTAAAATTGATACTAAATGATATAAATTCGATATTTGAGTTTTCTAAATCAACATTTGTATTGATATAACACGGTCTAGGAATCCCAACAATTATTCAACTTAAAACATAGAGAAAACAAATCACGGTTCATCCTATACCACAAATCAACCTCAGAAAAAAACATCAAAAGTCAATCAGCTCTATGATAGTATTGATGTGTCAAAATGTAGCTTTCCTCTGAGGTATGGACAATGTTCTGGCGGCAACAATTGTAGTGATTGGCTGTCTGCGACAATTAATTTCCGTTTTCCATTTATACCGTGTTGTTCACGATCCACGGGGTTACAGGAAACCTGAATTCATATGATTTTATTATTATTATTATTTCTTTTGGTGGTAGGCCGATGGAAAGGCTGGGGCTGTCGTTTGGTGTAGTGCGGATGACTAGCTCTAAGGGTTTCTCCAGTAACATTAAGAAAACGTCATAAATTATGTGCACTTCATACATTTTCTACTCTTCTCGCATCTATATTCAACTATGTTTTTTTTAAGTGCGCAATTCTTTTAACCACAAGATACAATTAACTCTTGCCGGACTGAAATATTCCGTTGGTTTGTCACACTACTATATTCTTAAAATAAGAGAGACACTGATAATTCTATTACGACCTCAAATTTAGGGTAAGACAGTTGGCAACAGTATAATAAAAATACTATGTGAATTATGATTTTGTTTGTTGAAAACTGGACATTAATCCACAGAAGAAATCACAATACATTAATGAAATTTAAAACAAATATGGCCTCCTGGAACAAAGAAAAAAGGATTGACAATTTGCAAAAGAAAAAAAAAAAAACACTAAAGGTTAACAATTTGACACTACATATTATTCTGCTAGACCTGATGCTGATGCCAGATATATGGAAAAGTCAAGTCCAAAGTGCTGGCTTTTTACAAGCTTTATTGTGTATCTCAAGAAACCAATGACTCTTATCCATGAGAATGTATATAAGTTTACACAGATAGGCCGAATTAACACACTTGTGCAAGTGGGTGGTAGGGATTTTAGACACAATCCATGATTGAGCAGTCTCAAACAGCTTAAAATAGAAACTAGGATGGCCCTAGAGCTAATGTATTGCATGCCAAAGTATTGATGGCTCAAAATATTAGTATGGCACCTAATGAATAAGTACCGTATACAATTCTTTTTGTTTTTTGTTTGTTTTATTTACTAAGACTAGACAATCATGCTACAATCACATGCTTAAATTACATACGTTGGCCTTAGGCTCTATGTAAACAGACACAATGCAATGAAATATATTTGCCATAACAAACAAGTAAAAGATAATAAAATCATAAAGTTGTTCTTCAAAACAAACACTTTACAGTAATATGCATAAATTAAAGGCTGCATAAGTTTAATACTCACATTTTTATCCCTGACCTTTATGGTGAAAGTTTTACCCTTACGGCTTGCTTTAGTTACCCTGGGCCTGTAAACAGAGGATATGCTCATCTCATCATGAAACAGTCTACTTCTTGACATTTGTAAATGCACTAACTGACTAACATAGACAATAACTAGAAAAGTTGCATATTTTCTCTTTTTTTTTCATTTATTTCCTTAATTCTTTCTTTCTTTCCTTCCATCTTTCTTTCTTTATTACCTTCATTCTACTCCCTTTTTTGAAACATGTAGAGACAAATTAATCTCCTGTTTTATTCACATGTCAGAATCTTTAATGAAGAGCTGTGAGTGCCCTGATCAGAGCAGAAGATACTAAAGTGGTGATGGAGGAGTTTGGAAGCAGCCAAACTGTTGCAACATAAGGTCAGGATCAGTTGAGTTCTATCTAGAGTGGGACTGGATTTATTTAGGTATGCCTGTGCAGATAGTGTCCTTTGTAGCTTCTTGGAATACATGTTCGGGGTAAAAACAGGACCTTTCATACCTAGCTCGAGAAATCAGAGTACACCCTTCTCAGATAAAGATGCCAAGAGTATAATATTGAGTTTCAGCATCAAAATAGGAAGGAGGAAATACAGAGAAGATAACCATGAGAATCTGTTATGTTTTATAGCGGACTGCAGCAGTGAGCATCTGCGGCTTGGGGTGGTTGACATTCAACACAAATATTCTGCGGTTTCAGATAATGACGCAAAGCAAAACCAAATAACTGAATTTAAAATGCTTTGAAAAAAACCAACCTGGACAGACAATAAATGCTGGGGATGATCTGTGAAGTCCTATAAAGGTCAGTACATTTATACTGAATTCAATGTCCAACAAATTTGCTAATTAATTACATCTATTTGAAAGCCGAACTGAAGCAGCTGAAGTAATACTTGGTCAATTTTAACCTTGGACAGTACAGTTAAGCCAAAACCATCATCTGCATACCTCTTGTACACCTCCAAATGCTAGCAAAACCTCCTGTTCAATGTTTCCAATAAAGAGGCATGTACAATTTTAACATATTTTAGTGCCCATTATAACAACACTGATTTAGTCACAATAATAATAGTTTAACCTGACACAGTAATTGATGCAATAACACAGCAAATATGAATAATGGCTGGGGGGGGGGGGGGGGGGGGGGGGGGGGGGGGGGGGGGGGGGGGGGGGGGGGTGGGGTGGGGGGGGGGGGGGGGGGTGGGGGGGGGGGGGGGGGGGGGGGGGGGGGGGGGGGTGGGGGGGGGGGGGGGGGGGGGGGGGGGGGGGGGGGGGGGGGGGGGGGGAACACCCACTGACTTTAAAAGATGTAAACAGTGACTAATTAAATGATTGGTGTTACGGGAAGTGTTAACCTGAGAGGCAAAAATATCTCAGTCTAGCTGTAAACCAAAATACAAAGTGTCAACTGCATTTGTAAGGTCGATATAGAAGAATAAGTTGTTCAATTAAACATGCTTTTTAAAAACCCTCAACAAAGATTACTGAACAGTGTATAAAACTTACCAGAAATAACTAGCAATCTTAGTTCTGTGTTTAAAGACAACAATGCCGGTTGGTGTTAGACCTAGGTAGTACTCCATATTGCCTTCATCCTGTTAAAAGTAAATAATTCACTGAAACAGTTTTACAACACATTTATTCTTTCTGTCTGTATTTGGTGATATTAATGGCCATCAACTCCTTGATAACTTCAAACATAAAATGTGTCATAACGAACAAATCAGAACTTGTTTTTCAATACACACGTTTTCCCAAGGTTTAAAAAAAAATTTTTTTATCCAGAGATAATTCTACTGCAGTTGCAGGAATCTGAAATAGTAAAGTAAGGTTTAATATGGCTTTGAGTTTTTTTTTTTTTAAGCTTTCCTACTAATCCAATTTATGTTAATATTGTGGTTGTGTGTATGTGCATGCACACATTCCTGTGCCTCTGAAGCATGCGTGCAAATGTAGCCAGCGAGAAAAATATCTAAGGGAGATCAAAAATGCTGTAGGTGGAAACTTAGAGGAAAGACCAATGTATACCAATTTATATACTAATGTATCCACAAAAACATAACCAGACAGTGTATCAAATTTGCAACAACAATAAAACAATGTCAATGTAATCTACATCATTATGATAAGAACCATGCAACTGTATACCTGTACTGGATGGAGATCAACACCATACATTTCTAGCCATTTCACTTTCTCCAGAAACTTCTGCTCTGCCATGATGGGTGTGGCTCCTCTGAGGTGAAAAAACACACACAAAGGAATGTACAATTGCTCTTAAAATATAAAAGTAACATACTGCCTGGTAAATAAATGGTCTCTAATTTGTGACTGGGACCTGGAACTAAAGCCAGCAATGGTGAGGTCAACTAACTCCATGGACAGAGTAGCAGGAAACAAATCACTAACCTTACTGTAACCAAGAAATGCTGAAGAAACTTCCTCTGTCAAGAGGAAACTAACTACATTGTGTTCACTTCTCTCTTTCCTTGAATTTACAAATATATCTCCTATTTGATAAGGCTTTATGACACATACTTATGAACCTTCTCTAACTTATAGCAAAAGCAACTTGAAATGTTTTTCATCCAAAAATAAAAATCTTCACTACAGAAAACAGCTCATTTTTTGTATCAGTAAGTATCAACAGTTATAACACATATACTTGCTGCGTTGAGCTGAGCTGACCAGAGTTGAGTTGCTGCATAACATTGCAACAATCTAGGTAAAAAATTAGGTAAATAAAATATATAGTCTAGATGCAAGAAATGTACTTTTAGAGCCCCCCCCCCCCCCCCCCCTTTCCCCAAAAAATAAAAATGTAATATTATTAATTAAATGAAGCAATAATGGCCATAGAACATAAAACAGTTTAAATATTTCAAAAAACTACAGCAACAAGTTATATTAAACTTACTGGCATCGTCGATGCATGCCTGCAATCCTGGCTTCCAATTCTTCAGTCTGGCTGGGTAAGAAGCTGAATTCTGACACATAGCCAGGTGTGTGATATCTTGAGTCAAAGTCACCCAACTCAGCTGTTGGAAGTATGATTAACAAACATGTTCAGCTTGCTGAAGTTTATGTGTCAGATGCTGGTTAAGTGCTTTTCTTCTTTCAACCTATGACATAATGTTTTCCTGGTAAGCATACTTGTCATCATTCTTCCAGCGATCATGTCTCAAACAACTGATTAACCTGAAATTCTGTAGACTATACACTTCTCAAATATAGCATGAATATAATTCTTCTTTGTGACTGAACGTTTTTTTTTTAATGACAATATCTTGTGACTACGGCAAAACCTTAAAAAAATTACCACTGTGGAAGCAATTGGCCGCACCTCAGTTACTCACTTAATGGTAAAGACTGCTGTGGTGAAACATACAGTGAAATAATGGACTATGTAATTTTTTTAATTCAGTAGATGGAGTTTGTGTTCTATTGTTGATGAAAATTATGTAGTATTCACATGATAACAGGCCATAATTTGTGATATTATTATTTCAATGACTACTCTGCCCTATAAATATATTATGAAACAGCAAAAATTAGTAAATAAATATTTAAAATAAATAAAAATATAATTCTCACATTGTACTGCATAAGCACAAAGTTCAGCTGCCTCCTCAAATGAAACAGGTAATCGGCCTTGTAAAATATCTCTTTTGACTTGAAGGAAAAACAGGTACCTGTATATTTAAAGGATGAAAATGAGTCAGTCAATATGTGGGTTAAATCAATCAATCATTATTCATCCCTACAATCAAGATTGGCTTTAATGAATCTCCAATACTCTGTCCTAAGTTTCATTACACACTCATAGGAATTCTTCTCTATAGAATATTGTCAATCTACCCAAATTATCTTCTTGAATGCATTAGATTTGGACTGAGAAAACAGCTAACATTAAATTCTGTTTAAAACTCAGAAAAAGCGCCACTGAGACAGCTGAATTGATGGGGCAAGTTTATGGGGATAATTGTTTATCTGGTGCAGAGATTTTCAGGTGGTATTCACGATTCAAAACTGGTACAGAATTGATTACTAATGCAACTAGACCTGGACGCCCAATTTCTGTTGTAATGATGAACTCATTGCAAAAGTCACAGAAAGGATTCAAGAAGATTGTTGCTTTACTGTCAGGATGATGCAGATAAATCTGGTGTTAATAGAAAGACACTTCATAAAATTTTAGTGCAAGATTTTGACAAGAAAAAATTTGCTTGCAGGTTTATACCGCATTCGTTGTCAGATGACCAAAAACATCAGCGGGTTGAGTACCCACGGGACATCATCAAAACATAAATTTTTGGTCCCAAAACAAGTGTGTATTCTCAACCATCCACCCTGTTCCCCAGATTTGTCAGCCAGTGATTATTTTCTACCCCAAAATTAAAGTTACCATTGAAGAGACACTTCTTTGACAATATTGATGATATCCAAAGGGCTGTAACATCGACTTTAAGGGTCATAGCAACAGAAGACCTAGAGAGGTCGTTCAAGTGTTTGTTAGATCGTGCTACTCACTGTTTCAATGCACAAGTTGCAAACTTTGAATAAAATACAGGTTATATATTTAACTGTTAATTATTTTAATTTTTATGGAATTAGTCTCATTACTTAATTGTCGGACCTTGTATGTAGTTTAATGATCTAAGCAAATTATTAATTAGTGTTCATATTTAAAGGTAACATAGCTGAAAACCGATAAATGATTTTACAGATAAATGAACATACTGAAATATATGATTTAAAAGTAACCAATGTCTGCTAAACAATAATTTTAAAATAGCTAAAAATTGTGGCATAAATATTATGAGAACAAATAGTACCCAATAATATTACCACAATAATTGTGGAACTTTACATCAAGAGTAGATATAAATCATGAAGAAATCTGGCCAATAAAGGTGGCAGACAGTTGTGGTTTTTCGTAGCCTTTTCATTTTCATGTAACAGATAGATAGTTTTATCTCTTGAGTGTAATTCTCTGTGACAGGACATAAACCAGAAGTTTTCTTTTCCCAGATTTTCAACCATGGTTGAGTTGTTTATTAGTGCTAAACTATCATTGAGTTTGTCTTTCAGCGTGTGTGTCAATAATTTGTAATGTATTTGGTTTTCCATCACCTTGGACCAGTTTTATGCCTCGTACACAAAGCAAACACACCCTGAAATGTGTCCATCTTTGCATCAGCAATTTTCATATTCTGTACTGGAATTGTGCCAGCGTAAAACAACGAGGTCCAATTCTGGGATGCTTGGCATACAATGACACTGTAGCTTTACAGGCGACACGTCTGGGTGATAATACCAGTCCACAACCAAAATGTTTCAGAAAAAAAATAGCTGATCTCAATTAAATTTGGTATGTGGAAAACAAAAATGATATTTTAAAATGTTGATTGGCTTTAGTTTTTCAGATATATTTTCTTCTTCTTCTTCTTTACTTCCTCTTTTACCACTGTGGGTGTCGAGGGAGACATAAGCAGGGTTCCTGGTCAAATTGACCAATCAATTTCCAGGCTTTTCAAGGTTGTCTCGGAGTAATAATAAAACAAAGTATTTTTGCCTTATTCAAGGGTGTACCGAGCACACAAGGTAGGCACACTCGTGCGCACATATGTGGGTATACCAGCACACATAGTGTTGTTTTTTTTTACAATTTTTTGTAGACAGTGGTAGAGGGGAGAAAACTGAGGACCTGTCTTCTGTTCTGGAACTGGTACCTGAAAGGGAGATGGGGGAAAGAAAGAGAGAGAGTCATACAGAGGAAGACAGATGCTGAGGTAGATTGGGAAAGCCAGTGTAAAGATGGACAGATCAAGACGGAGAAAAGAAGAGAAACAGAGATGGGGAGGGAGGAAAAAAGATGACAAAGAGAATGAAAGATGGAGACATGATGAGGGAGAGTGGGGGAGGGATAGCAAAAGACAGAGACGGAGACAAATACAGAAAGAGGGAATGCAGACTGAGAGATGGGCAGATGAAGAGAGAAGGAAGAAGGGACAGAAACAGAGATATTGAAGGAGGAAAAATATATTAAGGAGAGTTAGAGACAGGGAGAGAGAAGAGATAGGGAGAGAGGAAGATGCAGGCATTGAGAGATGTAGACAAAAAGAAGGGAAAGACAGAGGGACAGTATAGAGATGCAAACATACAAAGGGAGAGAATCAAAGAGTGAAAGAAAAAGGCAGAGCAGGAGAATGGGAGGGAGGTATACAAAGAGGAAGCAATGGAGAGAGGCAAACAGTCATAAAGCAAGAGAGAGAAAGAAAGAGAGAGATGAGGGAGGAAGGCAGTGATGAACACAGAGAGGGGCAGGTAGGGAGACAAGACAGAAAGTAAAAATATGCCAGAAAAAAAGTCAGGGGCTCCTAACCCACACCGCTTGTGGAAAATAGAGCAGGATACTAAGAAAACAGGTAGGGTACCAGTGGACTTTGTTTAATTTCTAATTCTCCAAACACAGAAAGGAGAGGGGAGAGAAGGTAGTGTAGAAGGCTGAGATAGAAAGGGTGAGACAGAGGAGGTGAGAACAGTGAAAGTGAGAGAGACAGAGAGACAGAGAGAGAGAGAGAAATACAAATTAAGGAAAGAAAGTCAGGACTGAGAGAAGGAGAGAAAGAAAGGAGAAAAAAAATTAAGATGAGATATAGAGAGAAGAAGGTGCAGGCTGCCCCAGGTGTCATCACTGTGGGAGGAGGAAAAGAGGGGAGTGGGGAGTTGATGGCAGATATGTTTTAAAAATTACTTAACAGGTATGGGGGAGGGGGGAAGTGGTGGACATGAAATGTTCTGAACTGGAAAACACATAACCTTGCTAAGCCAATTGAAAGTATGGAGAGAGACACAGAGAGAGAGGAAGTGAGGGAGAGTGGTGTATACAAAGAGAAAGAGAGAAGAAGGCAGTGACAGACAGGCAAAGAGTGAGGGACAGGTAGGAAAAAAGTGGGGTAGATAGGGAGACGGAGATTAAGTCTCGCTACAAATATTATACATCAAAATAAAACATCCACCAGGCTCATGCTGACCACCCCCCCCCCTCCCCCAACCTTCTCCAAGCCCCCAACCTTAACTGGACACAGTATAACTCTGAAGATCAGAGGAGAGGGAGAGAGACAATGGAGGAGAGGGCTGGAAGGAGGTGGCAAGAGGCAGAAGAGTGAAAGAGGGAAGAACAGAAAGAGAGAGGGGAAACGGGTTAGAGAAAAGAAGAGAGAAAATATGGAGAGATTACACTGTTGATCGCCAAACACACTGTAAAGATAAACCAGGCCAAAAACAAAACTATGAAATCCAGTTGACGTCACTTTGCTTAGCCCCACCATCTCCCAATGTAATCCTTGTTTCTAGAAGCAAATGCACACAGCACACAAGGTGGTGGCTGCACCCTCTCACTCCATGCCATGCTGCTGTCTGCATGAATCCATGGGCTGCCACACAGCCCGCCCTTCCTTAACCCTTAACAAGCCATTTCAGCTAAAAATGGCCAATAATCAACTGCCCTCATACCTGAAATGACCCTAAACATATGAAAGTAGCCGAAAAAAGCCAAAAGGCCAAAAATAGCCTAACTGTCAAAAATCGCAGGTCAGCCAATGATAGTTCATTTTTCTTCAATTCTACCATTGCCGCGGTCAAAATTCCAGATTTATCAAGGTCAGTAAGTCTTTTCCCAGGTCGGATTCCAGGTTCCAGGTCAGGGCTGCAATTTCCAGGTTAAATTCAAGTTTCCAGGTCAGCTAAGAACCATGTATAAGGTCTTGCTTTATGCTTTCTGGTTGCTTTGACCACAGACACATCGAAGTGCTGTACAGTTTCTCTGATGTTATCTCCCAATCTTGTTCTCGGTCTCCCTCTTGATCTACATCCTTCTCTTTTCATATATGCCTTGTATGGTTTAGCATAAGAAGGTATTCTCTCCAAGTGAAAAAACCATTTGATTGGCTGTCTTTGTATGTAATTATGATTGCTTCTGTGCTGATTTTATATCGTATGACCTCAGTCAAGATTTTATCTTTTCTGGTCACTCCTATAGTCTTTCTTAGACTCAAGATATTTGCTACTAGGAAATAAGCAAAGCTGATAGGCTTGTACGTAAGGCTACTGTGAAAGGTGGCTGAGCCAGGCACCAGGCTGATATCCAGAATGCTCTAAGAAAAGTAAGACTTTTGGCAAGTGACCTAATCTGCAACCATGATGAGACTGCAGCAAGTTAAAAGAAAATGTAGCCAGACAAGAGTTCTATGCAGAAAGCCAAAGAAGAATAAGAAACCAACACAGAACTGGTGTTGTCAGCCATTTTACACTGCAGGATTTACTGAGAAGAGAATCTGAGCACTGAATGGTTCCATGTGCAATAATGATAATCAGTCGACTGATATAAATCATTCATAATAATAGCATGAAAGTAAATACTAAGCAAACATTATTATTTTGATGCTCAGATCAGTATGATCCCTTTTACACTCTTTACTTCTTCATGTACTCTGTAGCAAAGATAGAAAGGAGTGACTAGCTATGATGTAGACCCTCTAGTCAAATGAGTTATATAATTCTAGCACAATCACCATGCAGAAGAAAAAAGGTGAAGAAATGGACAACCATCAAATAACTTATTATTTATACCTGGTAATTTCTTCTTGAAGTTTACACGGATCTGCTGCATAGAACTTTACCCCAAAGTACAACCTTGGACTGGATGAGCATCCTGTGAAACAACAATTTGTAACTGCCAAAAGTATGGTACATGTGTAGATGCACACACTGAATAAAGGTGCAGAATATAGTGTTTTAAAATTTACATCATACTGAAAAGATTCAACTAATTCTAAATCATTTTTTTTTAAACAGACTTTTGTTTGTGAACTTAAATGTTACAGGATGTTTCTTATAGTATCAAGGGCACAGAAAAAGAAAACTACAAATGTTTAATGATCTTAATAATGTGAGGGACTGGCTCTCAGTTTTAGTTCCAGTAAACTGAAATACTTTGCCTATACTAAACGTCATAAAGGTTTGGAGAAAACAGTAATGGAGGGTATGGTTTCTGGAGGACAACCATCATACCAACAGGCACAGGATATCAAGGAGGTGCTGGCTATGAAAGTACTTGAGGTGAGAATGTTGGTACAGGAATGAGCGGCTTTCCAGCATTTAGAGGTGAGAATGACATTCTGAAAAAAATCTGCCACAGAATGATTGTATGATTGTGAAGATGTATAGTTTTGATAAATATACATTCAAAAATGTTTAGTCAGCCTCAAATGTTAGCATAAGTAAAAGCTGAAAACCATATGACGATATCTGTCGACAGAGTACCTTTGTTTATATATGTGAATCTTCAATAATTTTTGGGAACTTCCAATAATATACGTTTAATATAATTTGAATATAATATAAATTTACAGGTTATTAAATCAGCTGCCGTGGTATAGCAGCTAGACACTCGCCTCTATCATGAAGGTAAAGGTTCAAACCCACACTGATTCAGATTATTAAACAAAAATGATCTTCGCTCACAGGTCTACCCAGCCTTAAAATCAGCACCAGGTGAAGTCCTGAAAAGTAAAGGTGACCAACGTGATATTGATCACATCACCCACCGAGTGCCATTTGGTCTATAGAATATGGATCTAGCACTATATGCCCAATTTGCATAATGGCACGGAAAAGAGTCTTTTAATTTGACATTATTAATTAATTTTTTTTTAAATTTTTAAAAAAATTTAACTTAAGTTACATATAACTTATTTTTTTTTTTATTTTTTTTTTTACGTATCCAGAAACCATGAGTTGTAAACCCTTTGGCTCGGTACTATGGATATCGCAACCCTTCGGCATTGATTCCATTATAGGTACCGTTAATCTGGGAGAAATGTGGCTTTTCTGCCTACCCCTGGGAGTGAACCCGGACCACAAGGAGTTCGTCACCCGGCCGCCGCGAAAGTCAGGTTTAACCAACTTCGCTAGAGAGCTGGGCACATATAACTTTAAACAATGTTCAGTTGTAAGATTCCTGAAGAAAATTCACAGAGATGACTACTGAGTAATGCTAATATAATAACTACACATACCTTTCAGTTGTGAAGCCACTGACTTCCCCAAATCCAGCCAATGCTGCAGATACAAAGAAACAGTTGTCACTTCAACATGATGGAAATTTTCAAGCATGGAAACAGCGGCCAAATTTAAAATGCAAAAATTAAACATTTCAACATTCACTGCAGCAATGAAATAAAAGTTATAGCCACTGCTGTATTGTGAATTTACGGATGGTAAAAAAACCATACTACTGAAAGAGTATGAATAGACAATTTGGTATTTATAGTGATAATGAAAAATGTTACTTCTGTTGCTACATGCATCTGAATGTGTACTCACAAACCAACCAGATTTATCATTTGTCCTGACAGAATATGTAATTACTTTTTAAGATAATCCATCAGGTGCGCACCGTACTGCACCAAGATGGAGACGGTTATTTTCCTTCTCCTTTCACGATGGTAACTTTATCAAAAATATCAGGATCATGTCGTTCGAGATTGGCATTTACAGATACACAGATGCAAACCAGCACATGTGGTGGGATGAGGTTTGAAGACGTAACTGATGTATTCTGTTTATTGTGCATTCAGTTTTTTATCTTGAAGCCAAAGTATAACTACAAATGTTGTTGTGCCCACAACTCGTGTGGCGTAGATGGCAAGCGTACCTCTAATGGTCTCCTGTAATGTGGATGGTTCAATCCTTTTTGTCAGTAAGCTGCTGTAGCATCATATAGCACACAGGGCCAGAGAGATATACTAGATAGTAATGATGCCTCATGCCTTACTTTTGTCTACACAGATAGCATTGAACAAAACACTGGCTTTTACTTGGCTCAGAGTCAAAGTGTCAGCACCAGGACCAGCTACCCTCAGAGATCTGTCACTGACGTTTACCCAGGGAACGACCGAAGTCATCTGTTACTTCATGATTAAGCAGCTTGTAGACAATAAAAAGATGGACGTGCTCTGTGACCTCATACAACAAATTGATACAATTTACATGGCTGGCCAGTTTGTAAGCTACTTATGCTCCGCCCACGTCAGCAGAGGTCGTAATGCGGCTTTAAAGGAGTGGACATTCCAAGACACTACAGATTTTCAATTGGTTGGAGGCGTCAGTCTGTGTTTTCTCTCTGACGAAGCAGTTGATGACAACACTGACGGTCATTTCTACATCAGCTTGAGTTGACCACGAACTATCAACCCATGGACACCGGCATTCTCTGTCCCCACCTAGGTGGTGCAAATTGTCAAGGGTGTATTCAGTAAACAGATATGCCATACACAATAGAGGGGACGTACAAGCACATTTCCTAATGGGAGTCAGATTATTTAGCTACAACTTCCAGAATAAGTCAAAGTTTGCTTTCAATAACATAGATACGGGAACCAAGCAAATCTACACATTTCACTATGTGCCTTTACCTATCTATTTGCAATGGTCGTCATTACAGACGTGAGTGTGAACTGGTATGTCACTGTTCCTATGATGAGGATTGTTTTGTGGCCACTGGTGGACATCCTTTGAGATGCATACCTGGCATTGAGGGTCCTGGATGTTAAGCAAATGTCTTCCTGGGAGTTTTGGGGACTATTGCAGCTCAACCTGCAGCAGGCAGTGTCAGTCACTTGGACTCACATTCCTAGAACCTTTTCATCGCGGTGTAGGCGTGTCTACACTGGGCCAGATGTGACAGCGAATGTGCTGCTGAGATGTTTGGTGAGAATTGCACCTCGTTGTGCAGTCAGAGTTGTGTGGAATTCAGCGATGCAAGAAAATCACGGTGTAATGTGGCGACTGGTTCCTCTAGCAATGGATGTAAGAGTGGTTTTCATGAAAACATCGGCACAAACACATCTAGTGTTGACAAGTTAGGTATTCACTGGAATAAATAAGGATCAGAGAGGTCCAGGGCTGTAGATTTCTGATCTTGCACGCAGTGGAGGTACCAGCTGTTCTGCTTTGAGAACCTAGTTTGGCCCTGTGAGTACTTGCCCCTATGGTTTGTAGGCACACTTGGGTTGTATGTTCTTTGTTCATGAAAACCCTTCTACAGTCAAGACTGTTGTGCGTGACCGAAGAGGCACAAAACACAATGGATCTAGAGGAGACAACCTCGATAAAAAAAAAACAAGCCTAAAGTGGATCTACATGCTGAGAGGGTGAATGGCTGCGAGATAGGCAGTTGTGAACGTGGACGCTGGTCAGCGGGAGGGGTCGGCACCAAGCGTGTGGACTCCATAAGGACATCAACTGCCTCTTCCCTAGTAGGCAGGCTCTACTAGGGTGACCCGTTACTACCTGCTCAATAACAACTTCAGCATATGGATTTTTCATTTTTATTTAATACGCGGCACATGTTCTGCGCTTGACGTCATCTTCAGCGAGCTGCGAAGAGACAGCGAAGAGGAGAAAACATGAAAATGGTGAGAGAAGAAAGCAGAGAAACAGAAGGGCGGGAGCCAGGAGATCTAGGCAAAAATTAGAACGGCTAGGGTTCAATCATGTAAGAGTGTGCTTCTAGAATTGTCGTAGTGCCAGATAGAGAGGGCCCATACTAGAGAGGTTAATGTATGACTTTGATGTAATCATGCCTCAGGAGCTGAATGCAGATAAATATCATTGCCCTGGATATGTCAGTTATGTAAACCCTGCTGGACATCATGAGAGACATGGGAAATGTCTGCTAGTGAAGGAGGGATGTGATGCTTGACCTGAGTATTTGGAATCATGATGCCATAGAGGTGCAGGGAATACAGATGGAGATTGGCTGCCTAAGTTGGAACATAACAAATGTGTATGCTGCCGTGGGCTCCTTAGTTACAAAGCAACAGTGGGACTGGTTGAAAGATCTGGAGGGGATCTCTGGCAACAGGTTCCTCATCAGTTGGGATTTCAATGCATGAATTAATGAATAGGACAGTACTGGGGAAGGAAAACCGACAGGAAGTTGCCCTTGCTAACGCCTTGGTCGATTCAGACTTTGACTGCTTAAATGAGGGGAGGCCAACTAGAATAGCAATGAGGCCCCGCGATGCAGACACAGCTATTGACCTGGCTTTGGTTACACGGTCAGCAGTACTGGACACCAAACAGACTGTACTGGGCGATCATGGAAGTGAGCATCTGCCATGTTCAGTATTGATCTCCAAATCAAGTAAAGTCAAGGTTTCAAGAGCTCGTAGGCCTTTCAAGTATAAGCGGACAAACACCCTTCTTAAACGTCTCTGACAGAGGGCATGTAAGAGAATCGGCAGATCTACATTTGCACAGCCTCCATAATGGACATCAGAGGTTGAACAGGCATGGAAGTTAAAGAGAGCTGCAGTTAAGCGTTTAAAGAAAGTATGACAGACAGCGTTATGCTCACAGGAAGAATTGTAGTGCCAAGAAAGGGATAGGAAAAATAGGTTAGAAATTTTCAAACACTGTGCGGCAGAGGCCAACAAAAAATGGGAGCATTTCATTGCTGAGATAGGGGGTGACAAGACACTGGGAAAGTTTTGGAGGTTGCATAGGCAAATACTCCAGAAAGATCGACCCAAGGTAGTGGGAACAATTCATAGAAATGACGGTATGCTCTTAACCACAGACAAAGAGAGGGGGAAAGCTTTCATGAAAAGGTTTATTTCACAGACAGACCACAATGATAGAGATAACAAAGAGAAAGTTAGAGTAGATCTTGCAGTCACCTTCAGGAACAAACATTATGTAGACATCATACAGGTGCAAGATGTGAAACACATTTTGAAAAATGCTTAAGACACTGCACCTGGGCCTGACGGGGTTAAATATTCCCAAATGAAAGACATGAGCGATGCAGACATGGTGGAGATGCTAGCTTGTTTTAACCAGAGCATTAGGACAGTTTCAGTCCCAGAAGAGTGGGACTGCTACCTGATTCCACTTCCTACGCCTGGCAATGATCATTCAACAGTGGCTTTAGGATCATAACCCTACAAAACACCGTTGGTAAAGTGCTGGAGAAGATAGTGGTGGGAAAGCTACAAGAATTTTTGGAACAGAGAAATCTCCTTCTACAAGGTTTAGGAAGTTGCCGGCCAGGGAAGGACACATGGTCAAATGCAGCCACTTTTGCCTTTGAAGGTTTCCAGAACAGACCCGAAACAGTTGCAGCACCACTTGATCTAGAAGATGCTTACAACAGAGTCAGATACAGTATCTTGATGAAGGCGCTTATGGAGAAGGGAGTCTGTCCGTGGTTGGTGAACTGGATAGCAGCTGTTTTGTATACTCGTCGGGTAGCTCTCCGCCTGGGTTCAATGACCTCTAAACCATGTACTATAGCTCCACAACTGCCACAGGGATCTGCAATTTCACCTGTACTTTTCAATGTTTTTATGAACAAGATTGCGGACCTGGAAACACCCAGAGTCGGCAGAATATTGACATTTGCAGATGTTCTCTTATATAGGAATATATAGGCACCTGGGTGTAACCAGAGGGTTTGGCAGACTCGCTACACTTAGAGGAAAGGCGAGACAGACCTATAACCAGATTGTGATCTGTGCCATTAGTATTGGAACTATGCGCTGGTTGCTGATGATGAGGACGGAGCACACATGGGAATGCCCTAAGTGCTGTGATGTCACTTCTTGACTTAACTAAGTTAATCCATCTTTTAACAGCAAGTTAAAAACAAATGAACCATAGAAGCAAATTATATAGAATGAGGTAAATCCTGTGTTTGTAATAATGGTTAAATTAAATTAAATTAAAATAAAAAATACAAATATGCCTTAATTTTTCTCAGGCAATACTATTTTGTCAGCTTTACTACTGTTGGGGATGTAAAATGTGTCAGGCAGGGATGTCTGATGGAAGGAGCTGTCGTACCCTTTACTGAGCCCTTTGACTTCTCTTTTTCACTTCTTCTGGCACTCAGTTAACTCTTGTTGCTCCCATCAATATCCAGCAATGGCTATATCCATGGTAACGTCCTTATCTTGACTGGCTACACCATGTGTCCACTGTGGCTATGAGGGTGTGTTTTTATGCAGATTTCATTAGGCACAGAGCACAGGTTATCCAACATGTCATCTACTACATCTTGCATCTACTTCAGTAATTCTGTGCTTATCTTGTCAATGGAACCAGGATGACAGCAAGAGACTCCTCACTTCCCTTCCCACTCAAAGCACACTCTCTTGCTACCCAGAGCTATGTTGTACAGAGATCAGAAGTCAGGTTATCTCTATCTGATCAACATTCAGAAGATCGTGGCCTCATCACAACAAATGTGTCCAGCTACAAGTAGACACAACTGGCCACCTCTGTGTCATTTGAAGAACTGACAGTTATTATTGTGTTACTTACCGCCTGACCTGTGGAATCAATAAATCTCAGCCCAAAGTAGATCTTTTCTGACACATTTATCAGCTCACATACTTGATCAAATAGTGTCTGACCTTTCCAGCTGTTCTGTAAAAACAGTTTAGAAACAAAAATAAATCGTAATTTTTCACATGTGTAAATTATTATTTTTTTTTTCTTCTAATAAACCTAGTCAAACAAAAGAGTTAGTTAAAACTGTTTGGCTAAAAGATACTGGAGAAAGTTTGAAATGGCCTCAAAGATATTTGGCTGAGCAGGTTTCTAATGTCCTTGAAACCATTCCTAATATCACTTATGTCAGATGTGCAACTATTTAAATGAACCTATGTATCTGTAAAGATTTATGAGTACAGAAGAAGGAGTCAGTAGAATGGCGATCACAATGTAACAAATTAGGCTGAAAAGACAGAGAAATCTATTTTTAAACATGATGCTATTTATTCAGTCTGGAACAATACACAGTTCAGGTGAATTTATGAAAGCAGTATAGTAATTTTAATATTGAAGCAGAGGACAAAGGTGTCATACATGTTTTCCGCAAACTTGTTTCCATGTTCTATGAATTAGGCTAGAACAAGACAAGCCATTATTTTCTGTGACACTTTCCTAATTATTCTAACCATATTAAATTCAAAAGAATACTTTGAAATTAGAGTGCACTTAAATGACAGGCAAGGAACTAACAGTCTGCAAAAGCCAGATCTGTAAAACAGATGTGCATGCAAAACTCCTAACGTTCAGGAACAAGACTTAGTCCAAAAGTGGATGAACAACTAGAACTTTCCACTGGAGTTTTGAGCTGGTGAACATAAAAAGAGAATGCATATTAAAAAAATAGCAATAACCAAAATATAAAACTGAAATGTTATTTTCCCATTAGGTCAATTTCTGAAGCATGTTACATGTCTCTCAATTGCAAGACTTGCTATATTACATCCATCCACAACCACTCTTTCGCTTACTGCTGACAGGTTCCATACACTGTCATTTTTTATGCCATTCTAAAACTCACCAAGCATCTCTCTCTCTCTCTCTCTCTCTCTCTCTTGCTCGAGAGAGAGAGAGAGTGTGAGTGAGAGTGAGTGAGTTGAGTGGAGTAGTGTGTGTGTGTGCGTGCGTGCGCGTGTGTGTGTGTGCATGTGTGTGTGTGTGCCCGTGCGTAGATGGGTGGGTGTGTGTGTTTGATAGAGAGAGATATGCTTTTCAAACTGACAGGCATTATATTCACATCTACAGCCGACATCTGTCAGTGATTCTATTAAACTTATTTTGGGGCTTCCAGGTTGGCTAATACAAAACTGGACACCAAGACATGTCCTGTGAAACAAAGGTGGCCAGTGTACTAATGACTACACCACTCACTGAGTTTCAACTGTACTATAAAAAATATGGGTCCAACACTGTAAATTCAATCAGCTTCAAGGTGTAGAAAGATCCTTTACTTACCTTATGTACAAAGCTGACTGGTGGCTTCACTTACCTTATGTACAAAGCTGACTGGTGGCTTCACTTACCTTATGTACAAAGCTGACTGGTGGCTTCACTTACCTTATGTACAAAGCTGACTGGTGGCTTCACTTACCTTATGTACAAAGCTAACTGGTGGCTTCACTTACCTTATGTACAAAGCTGACTGGTGGCTTCACTTACCTTATGTACAAAGCTGACTGGTGGCTTCACTTAACTTATGTACAAAGCTGACTGGTGGCTTTACTTACCTTATGTACAAAGCTGATTGGTGGAACAGCTTTTAAAACAATGTAGTGAAATTATATTTGTCCATATCAAACAGCTGAATGATAACCATCACACATTTATCACAAAGTATCATATGTGTGTCTCAACATAACATAACAAAACCCTTGACCCGTTAGAGTAGTGGTTCTCAGCCTGTTCAGTAGAGTCAAGAATTGACATCACAGCACTCTGGGCATTCCCATGCATGCTCCGTCCTCATCTTCAGCAGCCAGCAGAGAGTTCCAATACTGATGGTACCGGTCACAATTTGGTTAAATGTCTGTCTTTCTTTTCCTCTGAGTGTAGTCAGCCGGCCAAACCTTCTGGTTACACCCAGGTGATTCATTCTTTTCAGGCAATAATAATCTTCTTTCTCTACTGATTCTGTTGCTTGTTCCCAAAGGGAGGTTGGTTCTATGGGTCATTACCCTTTTTTTAAGTAAAACGACCTTTTCACAGGGGTTGCCAAAGACCATCGCAAAACACATATTTATTGAAGTTATGAAGGAGCGACAAAAATAACCGAATGGTTGATGGTCACCACAACAAGAGGGACTGTATTAAAGGGCTGCGGCATTGGAAAGGTTAAGAACCACTCCCTTAGGGCCTTGGAGGTGTATCCATGGAGGCACCAGCACACGAAACCCACCATTTTTCTCTGGCTTCTGCATGTTGAAAAAGCGTATAGTAATTCAGTCCTGTCCATTTCTTGATGTTGTAATTCCAGATTCTTCTGTGCCCCCCCCCCCCCTCTTCTTCAACTACCCTCCAATGTTCCTTGAACTATTGCCTCTGCAATCAAATCATGACTTAACCCATGCATGTCAGAACCATGCTAGGTTGCAACACTTCACCACTGCCAGAACAAGCTCCTGGTGTCCTGCAAATTTGTTAATTCTATCTATTAAATATTATGTGTTATATTTTCTTAGAAGATAAGAGTCTCAACACTACCTTATAAATAAATCTCTGCTCTGAGTCATCGAGGAACACAATGTAACATAAGGGCCCCTTAATTTCTCCAGTGGCATTGTTGTTAATCTTGCTGTCAGTTTTGAAAAATCTTGGAAACAAGCGCAACAGACGATTACCCTTTGACATTACTGATAGCCTGGCCCTTTCACTGGTCACATTTCAACACAAACTGAAATATAAACAAGTAAGCAATGTTTATTTTACATTATATTTTAACAGAGAATATTACACAATCAAACACCTAGGAATCATTTGACTAACAATAACAGACTGTTAATGTGCAATCTGACTATTGCAAAATAGCACCATCAGTGACACAGTAGTTTTGTGGATGCTAGGTTTGAACAGTTTTAGCAGAAGTGCACAACTGTAGGAAAATACTGCATGCATGAAGGTCTGGAAAGAAAGTCTGTCTTACTAGCTGATTTAACTGCGAAAGAATAATCTGCCCTGGACCAAAGCTATAATAATCAATAGTGTTCATAATTTACTACCAGACCATTTGAAAACATGAATTCCCACAACTGTGAATGGTCTTTCCTGTTTATTGCAATCAATAACATACGTGTTAGGCATTCAGTTTATTTGGAAATGTGGTTAAAATCAGAAAATATAGAATGTTTAGAGCTTTACCGAGTTACTAAGTACTTGTTTGAAAACTTTATGGCCACTGAGCAGTTTTTCTTCATGTATACCAACAAGCTGAAAATACAACTGATTTACAACAACTGCTGGATATTGTGGTGATGGAGAGTGCTAAGAAAGGACTTTCATTGAATATTAAGAAAATGGAAGTAATGGTTATATCAAAGAAAATAATTGCACGTTGTGATATCTTAACTGAAGGAAAAAGACTTAACCAAGTCAATAAATTTAAATATCTGGGAACAATCATATCATCAGATGAAAAATGTGTGACAGAGATTGAAGGCAGAATAGGTCAAGTGAAAGCTGCATTTCAGAAAAGGAAAAAATATCTTATGCAATAAATCGCATTCATTTAATGTCAGAAAGAGTGTGGTAAAATGTTACATAGAACCTGTTATGCTGTATGGCAGCGAATCTTGGAATGTCACTGAACAAATTAAGAAGATCGTGATCTGTGGAGATGCATGAGTGCCTACACCAGTTAGCAAGGCACATGATGATGATAATGTTACCAACAGAAAAAGTAGTGAAGCATAGTTTGTTTCAGTCATTTATAAAGTCAAGCTGATGGATAATTCTAATATGCATCTCATGCAAAATGTACAATGATAATAAAGTCAGCTGGCACGAGGAGAACACTAGTGAAAGGGCATCTTCTTCAGTATAAGTTAGCTCTAGAGCCCTTGTTTTTTTTTAAGCAACATAGCTACAAAATTACAGTCTTTTTGAGTGTTACATAAAATTTTGTGTGTGTGTGTGTGTGAAGATTCTTATTATTTTTTGGTGAAGCCGTTTTAAAAAAACTGAATAAACTATATAATAATATAAATGTAAATTAATTAAAATATTAATTTAAAACATAAATCTAATTACTCCAATCAATTGTTTTAAACCCTTAAATGTGGGGGTAGAAAAGGGGTTTGGGGGGAGCAAAAGGGGGCATCAAGCAATTTTGAAACTGAGTTTATTTGTACTTGAAATAATCTGTTATTTAAACATTTTGTTAGGTTTAAAAGTATTTTTTTTAACTATTTATAAAACAAAAAGCTAAAGATGTTTGTTTTCATGAACAGTTTGTGTAGCAGATATTAGCAAGCAAAGCAGTGTCCACCACCACCTTGATTTAGACACTGAAAAAAGTATTTTGGTGACTATTTATTTATTATTTGGCGGCAGGAAAGGGGAGGAGAGTTAGGGAGGAGGCATATGTTTACATTGTGGCGCCACCTGAAAACCACTGCTCTGATCTATTCTAAATTATATTTTGGCTCTCCTCAGAATGACGTCATAATATTATGGCGGCCATACAATATCCAAAAATATCCTTACGGGGCTCAGGCATATGTAAAATGCGGACTTTCTGCCAAGGAACAAATCGCAGCAAAACTAGGATTACTTGACAATTTCAACAGACGCAACAGTGCAGACGATAGTAGCAGACGATAATAGCGACCATTGACAATGTTGAGCGTGTCTGCAGACGATACTAGCAGCTGATAATAGCGACCTGTTGACAATGTTCAGACATTACAGACGATGAAAGCAATATGGCGGGTAGACCACGCGCTCCCACACAGATTAGCTTCCGGTTAAAATGGACGCTAGACAGCGGCGCCGTTCGGAACAGAGGCAAATTTTTTGCTTCTGCCGGACGGTGGCCGATGCATTTTTGCTCCATTTGTAGACTGGATATAGTTTCGTCGCCCAGCTTCTGAGTTGAATGCATGGCGTGACCCTGTGAGCTGCGGATTGCATTTGGAATGGTTTTTTTCGACTGTGACCAACGTGGTGGTGTGAATTGTAGATTCAGAAAATGGCGTGATGCCTGTCGTTCAATGCTTGCGGGACCCGTATTAAAATTGATCACGCGGACAACTGCTGATCTGTTGACGACAAGTTCTGCTATCATCAATGATGAACTGCATTTCTAATGTTGGACTGTTTGTGTTAGCACTTCGGATGGCTACCATATGCTTTAATGCGAGTGTATGCTAGATATGCTGAGACAGCAGTCTGTCAATCTTTCCACAAGGGACTGTGATAGACATTCTGAGTGTTTTTCGCTGGCACAGGAGCGGAGCAAAGATGGGGCAATCCGTTTGTTATGAAGCTGAAACTAAGACTACCAGACCAGACCAGACACAGATTAGCAATACTGTTCTTCCGATTGAGGATTCAGTAGCGGTATATGTCAAACCTGCCAACCTGTATTGAGTAAT